AATGAAGTATGGGGCTGTGCGGAAATTTTTCCAAAACTGATATCGGGAAATTCTCTTGTTGTCATTTATAACTCAGCCACTGAGGTTACATCAAATATGAGAACACGTAAAGAACTCTTATTTGCTGAGGAAACTATTGTCACGCGTGATAGATAACTGTATGAACACTAGCCTCCGTTTGGTGCGAAAATATGCCTAATTCTGATTTAGACAATTCACGCGGAAGCAAAAATTAAAAAATTATTCTATGAGCGCACTCGTTGCCTTTCAGAGCTTTTGAGTAAAGAACTTCAGAATCGTCGTCTAAATTTTCCGCCATAACGTTTTGCCTAGGTAAAGCCACTGTGTGGGGAGGGTAAGTTAAAGAATAAATGTAACAATATTGCGTGACACTGTCACGACCTCGTGGTCCGCTGACGACATCTGTTTTCTTATATTAAATATATCTTGTTGGTCCGACATCTTGGTTTTGTATGTGTTCTCCTCTACATTGCCCGTCCTGGCTTGTTACAATAAATACATAAAAAAAAATTAAAAAAAGCAAATCTCAATATATCCCAATACAGGGAGATAGAAAGGAAGAATTGAAAGTCATGACTTTAATGCTAGTTGAGTGACTCCATTTGTTTTTTATGTGATATACTAATTTTACGTGATCAACTGCCTGGGGAGGAAAGGTACGGCTACACGTGGGCTACTGACCAATCAGAGTTTTAATAATAAGTCTGATGTATAATAAAATATGTTGATACACAGGGTTTACAAGGAACAAGACCCATGCTTGCACATTGTCTGTTTTATTTGAGCAAGACTTGCTACTCTACACCAGGAACCACTACAGAGGTAGGGACAGTAGAATACGTTCAAGTCCAACACATGGTGTCAAATGTTAATCATGCACCAAGGGTTTTTCCAGCCACCCTGAAGAGCTGCCACTCCTAAATTCCCATTTATTAAATTATCAACTGTTATTTAAATTGCTATGCAATTGCAAGGGAAGGGAAAACATATCAGGGATTCAGTTTGCATTCAATTATAATGGTACAATCCTGGTCACCCCATGAATCATCTAAAGAAACCAGACTGGCTCCTAGCAAGTTGGACCACTTGGCTTGCTGACTGAATTTTTAACCCTTTAACCCCTAGGAGTGACTAAAATCTGATTTCTCCTTACAACATTACTCCTTAATCAAACATTAAGGTCATGAGAATAAAGGAAATGATCACCAAATAAAGAAGCTCTTGATTTTCATACAAATTCTCCCTGTCAGCACCTTAGAAAATGTATAGTGAACAGTATGGAGAATATGCATACTGATGTAAGGGTGTAAAGGGTTAAAGGTAAGCAAGCGAGGGTTCAGAGCTGAATTTCTCTGCTTTTCATTTCTGGACTTCTTTGAACTTACCTTGTACCAGTTTGTCTGGTCATAGAGATAGCATCTTTGACACAACAAAAGTTTCTCAGCAAAAGCACTTCATATGATGTGTTTACAATGGTGATCTATCTTGCCACTCAACAAAGTGTGTGGAATTTCCTAATGACCAAGATACTTTGAATTTACAACACTTGCAGTTCCAGTTTTCTGAAATATCTATGGTAGCCATGCAGAATTCTAGCTTGCACAACTTAATGAGCTTTTCAACATGCTGAAGGACAACAATTTCTTCTCTGGAGTCAATTCTGCAAAAGAAACAGTAACTGAGGTGTTTGTCAAAGCCTTTGACTTGATGGTCTCCAGGGGTTCCACTACACCAGACTTGTATAACCCTTGGATCATGGCCTCATTGCACAACACCAGTTTTTGGCTAATTTCCCTTTTTATTTCAGTAAATAAATCTGATGAAACTGTTTGGTATAAGATATGCCATGAATCCATGAACAGGGAAGACCTGTTGTGCTAGAAGTCAGGAAGACTTCTCATTCAGGTCAAAATTTGTGTGACATACATCAGATGTGTTTTTGTTCTCCTCCAAGAGGCTGTAATAGTGTCAAATCAGATCTTGTCTTTCTTGTATTGCCTGTACCCACATACTTCTTATCTGATGATCAATGTCACTGTAATGTAACTGCACGCTTACCCCTCCCCCAACCCAACATTAACCCTGACTTGTTACCAGTTGACTGTTGTTGGGGTTAGAGGAGGAGTAGCTGGGCAGTTGCTCAGATACTGAGATTGATCTAAATTTGTAGTGGTTTGACTAAGGCAAAACTAGACTTATTGACCACTGACAAGTAACACATTCACAGAGGTACTTGGGGTTGCCAGACCATTTTCTGATCAGGGGGGAGGGGACAGTGCATTTCTTTGACAATACAAGTATGAAAGGACAGTGCAAAAAAAGATTTCTCTCTTGATCACAACTAATTGATAGCCAAGTGCTGATCAACCTTATACTTCTCAAAAGCACGCCTCCTTCAATGAATTTTACAAGTTCAGCTTTGTTTTTAAGTTTAAAACAGATGTATGTACATTCAGAACAGAGTTGGTTGGTAATGATTTTTTATTTTTTAATAATATTTCATTGATACATATTTTAATTTTCACATAGACATCATGGATGATGCTGAAAGATAAACCTGTTTAGCTTATGATTTCACGCAAAAGAGGTTAAAATGGAAAAAAAAAAAACACTCGAATATTGCAATGCTTTGCTGTTTAAAATGTACTCTCCCAGGAATGTTTAAATCCAGAACAAAGATCTCCTAATAATGAGCTCTTTTGAACTTGACAAAATTGAATTTTTTTATATTTAATTGTGTTAAATCTCTCTCATGAAAAACTTATTCAATCAGCAAAGACAATAAGAATAACTTTCTTCCAGCGTATGTCTAGTAACAAGCATTAGATATGATCTCCCTAAATTTATCTTGACTAGAGCATGCTCTTAAAAGAAGCAATTCTCTTGGTCAAGATATTGGCCACTGAATACATAAACACTCTGATATTAAAGTGACCAAAAATGGCCTTTTAAGGTTAACTTCCCAGAACGCCAGGTCATGATTCAACTCAAAGGGTTGAGTTAACTCTTTCACTCACATGATCTCATTAGTAATTCTCCCTATGGTCTGCTATATAATTCTTGATGTTGGTTTTAAATAATTTGGTAATGGATCAACTGAGGATCCCTTAATTTATATTTTTCTGTATTCACATTACTTTTCTGCTTGATATTGTATTGATATTGTGATGAGAAATTCTGTCTTGGTCACCTATGGCTGTTTCAGGGTTAACTGATGAATCAGTCTATCTATGTTGATTTTTCACTGACCAAAATTAACCCAAGCCATATCTCTGCTATCTCTAGGCCAACATATAATTTTTAAAGCTGAATTTATGTCTGTATATTACAGAAAGATACCTCACAGACTTTTCATAGTCTCACTTAGATGTGAATTTGTTGTAGCTGTGGAATATTTCACCACTGATAACCAAAGTATATTTCAGCAATCTCTCCGCCAAGATATTATGTTTGAGGCTGGATTTATGTCTGTTTATTACAGATAGATGCCCTACAGACCTTCCTTGGCTTTACCAAGAGGTCAAGAGCAAGTTCATAGTAGCTGTCATCTTTTTTACCAGACAATGACATTTTTTTTTTTGGAGAGGAAATAATCATTCCTTACCAACACATCTTGATAAGCTCTAACACAATCTCCTCTCCTATAAACTTTCCTTGAAACACTGAGATTTTGGGCAAATTGCACTTATTTACAGAATCAATTTTACTCAGATTAGTTCTAGCTTGTTTCTTATACTTTTAAAGAGTGTTTCTCGCAAAGCTGTAACAAAGCAAGGTTTATGGTAAGGCATCAGGCATAAGCTGCACTTTGATCAATGTTTTTAGTCCAAAGGCCTGAAACTCATGCCCAAACCTGGTGTGAGCAAAACATCAGACAGCCATTTAATTTGCTGACTCATTGCAGGACATCAAGAAAGTTAGGGGCACAGCTGAAATTAAGGATGGTTGATATCCACACAAATCACTTTTTTCAGATAGCCCTTTTCAACAGCCTTGTCTTTAGTAACAAAAATTTAGGCTTCACTTTTATATAGTCTGTCAATATATTAGCAGGTCAGAAAAAATAATTCAGGCTGATAACAGTTGGGATAAAATCGCCAAATTCAACGAAGTCAGCGATGATAATATTAAACTTGTGACACTTGGTGCCACAAAGGGCCTTCAGCCACCCGGTCACATAGCAGTTGCATCTCGAAGCCAAAACATCTTTTAAAGTGCTTGTCATGTTTTGAAACACAGTTGAAGTTTGTGGCGTGAGGATAGCTTGTGTTACTTGTAAAGCATCTTCCGAAAAACTGGACGCTTCTGACTGTTTGTTGAGGAATTCCAACAGCAGTTTCTTATCCGCTGTGTTCGGCCACGGGGAGCAGATTAGATGGGGTGGCCAGAAACAGGGGTAAGTATCGACCACATCATAGTCGTGATAAATAATGATGACCTTCTCTTCGTTTCCCCACATCTCTTGAAGGGTGACATTCGGGCCATCTGCGCCAGGAGCGCGGAAAATCTCGCTGAACGAAGCAAGCAGAGTATCTGCGAGTGTTTCATGAGCAGCTTGATCCATTTTGTAGAAATGATTGAAGTCTAAAATGACAATTTCTTTCGGATAATTCGCCACAAATCGGTTCACTTCGTCCAAGACTTGATCAATCGTCCAACCAAACAAACCGTGTACAACATGTATCTTTTTATCTTCGGCTCTGTACGCGACACGGAGATCCAGATAGCGAATGCCCGACAGTAGCTGCTCGTAAATTGTCATTGACTGTGTGACGGACCAACTGTGGATCACAGACTTTGCTACTTTCCCAAAAATACTCCCGAGCGTGTGAATGGCAGATGATTCATCGGGACCAATCTCCATGTTTTGATCCAGAAAAAACGTTCCCGAATCATGAGATCCTGGGATCACTAAATCTTTCAGTGGACTTAGTTGCTTTTCATTTGGCAAATTTTCCATCCATCGAGAATAATCGTTGTCTTCCAGAGCTTTTATGTTAAGAACTTCAAACTCGTCGACTAAATTTTGCGCCATAATTTTCTGCCTGTGCAAAGCCATTCTGTAGGGAGGGGTAAGGAAGCAGTTATTGTTGTGGAACTCAGTCCTCTTTCAATTCCGTCAGTTAAAGAATAATTACATAAAAAAGAGTATTTTAATTGAGATCTCAATATAACATTTTTCATGGGATGGATCCAGCGAATTTACTTTTGTTGAAAAAAAAAAAAAAAAAACATTCGTTAACTTCAAGTTGCTTCTCCGTGCAGCCCAATATTTGCGAGAGAAAACATTACGTCATTCGAAAGCCAAAAATTAAATAATATCACGTAATCAGGTAATGGCTTAAAACGGAAAATTACTATAACTTTAAGCGTTAATTTGCGAAGCAAATGATTTCTGAAACGGAAAAAGAAAATTTCTCACTTGCGCAGCGGTGCAGACTTGCTGAAGATATAAACATTGAGGTGTAGCTTTAAGACAGATGTTTTCTATTTAAGACATCTCGGACATAGAATGCCATGTCTTATCGAAACTGAAATGCAATTTACATCCACAGGTGCGTTTCCTCTTATAGAACCTGACGGCTGATTAAAACACTATTCTCGATTCAATAAAGTAATTTAAAAGTGTAAAGGAAGACATGGAGCGACGGAATAGAGGAATAACTACGAAAAAATGACAAAATATTCCAAAACTCTGGACAATACACCCAGCCATTACCTAAGGGTGTCCAAAAGTTGCAGTTTAATGCAAAATTATTTGAATATTAATGTTATAATGGAATCTTTTATTGTCAAGACTGCTAAGTGACATAGCCTTGTCTATGCTTTCACATTTATTATTAATTCAAGGCAAACAGGGCGTGTGTGGAAACTAAACATTGCCAAACTAGAATTGAAGTGAGCTGAATTTGTGTTCAAAAATGGATTTTAAAGAAGCGCTTTTCATGATGCTGCAAGCAACATTCGTTTTTGTTACTGAAGGAAACTTAGTGGCTCGTTCGTCGTATTTTCAGACAAGGGAGAATAAGCAGCTTCTAGGGTATGCTTTCAAACGGTTCAACTCTGCTAGTGTGTTGTCGTGCGGTCAAGAATGTTTGAGATCTCCGTCCTGTTCATCCACAAACTTCAAGTTTTTCTCCAAGAAGGAAGAAGAAGGAACTTGTGAGCTGAACAAACACGACGTCACTGCTGTACACGAGAGCAACAACTTTGACTATCAGGAAGGAGCGATATTTTCTATTTTCCTAAAGGTAAACAGTAGAAAATTATACAAATTATTACATATCACGCAAGAGCAACTAAGAAACACCGAAGTGAACATTTCCCGGCAGATTCGACACAGTGGAGGAAAGGGTTGCGTTATATCGCATTGTCCCAAATTTCAAAGGAATCCAAGAATTTATATCGAATTGTGACGAATATGGTTGGAAATATCTGAGACAGAACAATTTGGCTTGTCTTCGATAATGCCAGCAGCAGCAGCAAATAAAAAAATTAAAATCTTTTGAATTAATTTTTATGTTTAAATCCATTTTTTTTATCGCTATGTCTATCTGGTAGTGGCTTACATCGCGGCCGTCAATATTTCATACAAACAGACAAAATTCTCATTCCGCTTATTTCTTTTTATGACCGCAGTATATGCGATACGTATCCCAACGTTTTTCATTTTTTAGGGATGTTTGCTCGCCAGCTGCCTTAATGGAGGATCGTGTTTGCCTGACAAAGAAAAACGAACTTTTTCCTGCTCGTGCAAACTGCCTTGGGCCGGGGACAGATGCGAAAGTGGTAGGTGATTCAAAGCATTTTGACTTCCACGAAAGAATCGGAACAGTAACCTGAAAATAAGAGCTCACTTATAAAATAAATTGCAAAATTAGTTCTGATGAATAATAAGTAGATGACGGACCTCAGCTAATTCAAACAACCAGATTTTTTTTTTTTTTTTAGTTAAAACTTATTCCCACCCCCTCCCTTAACACACACGCACACACAAATCGTTAACCACCAGCCGTTTTTCTCACCGACCGTTTCAAATTGCTTACTACGGGACGTAATAAAAAGTGTTAAAACCGTAAATACAAAGAGAAAAAGATGAGTAGTTTTTTTAAGGGATTTAAATCTCACGGTACATAAGATTCGAAGGACCGTTGTTAATAAATAAATTAAAACAGTGCTCATATCCAAATATTTCCTTCAACCAATGTAGGCCTTCTAAAGAAAGCATTGGTTTCTTTTCTCTGTACATATAAGTAAATTGAAAACAGAGTATTATCATAATACTGATTATGAACAATTAAAAATTGTCCAAAACTCACATAACTCACTTTCAACGGATCGATAAGGCGACAAAATCCAAGGCCTCATTTCTTTAATAACGTCAGATTTTTGTTTTGGGAATTATGTTTTTCATGTTTGATACCATGAAGGCTTATAATTTTAGCTTCGTGCGCTCGAACGTGTCTTTTCGATACATAGCAACAAGTAAGCAAAAGTCGTCAATCAAGTATCTCAGCTGAAGAAATGTCTTTGGTGGAAGTAGCCGATTTGGTTTAGTGAGGGTTGAAAATATTGGCAGTATGATAGAATGATTCTGAACAGTGAAACACTAATTTATTTATATTCCTTATTGGCTCAGCACGCAAGCTGTTAAAACATTGAATGGCCGGCTTTGTAGCTTCTTCAGCCTGGAGTGAATTGGCACCTGTCAATAGAAAATGGCCTCAGCGGCGTTTTTCTTATTGGCTTTGTTGGAGGTCGCCTTACCCTCCCAACCCTCAGTGCAATGTAAAGTTTTCTCTGTGCTTAGCAATACAATTTGAGGATAGTTGGAGAAGTGGTAGGGGAAATTTGACTGGAAGGTTTTGAAATAAACGGGAATAATCATCAGCGATCTGAGTGCTTTTGCTACGCTTTTGCCGCTGACTAACGATAGTTAGACATCGCATAATTTGTAAAGATTTAGAATTTGTGACACGGCATGTTGTTTAACTGAGTTGTGATAACATTTACGATCAGATATTTTTTTCCTTTCAGAACTACTGACGTCTTGCAAGGAAATACATAACAAGAAATTGTAAGTGACAATTACTGGTGCATCTAAAACATTGTTTGGTAGCTGATTCAGTAGCTGGGCGGAGTGCACTGTGACTAGGAACGGTTGTATCTTCAGTAAATTGATTAAAACTCGATTCAGGTTAATCTCTGTATTTTTCCTGTTTGGATTTATTTGTTGTTTGTTTGTTTTTTTATCAGGTCCTCATCAAACAAAGCCCACTTACTGAAGGTAGAATCAGCAGAGGTTGCTGTGTACTGTCACATGACTAACCTTGGTGCATGCGGTGGGGGCGGATGGACGTTGGTTATGAAAATGAATGGCACACAGGTACGAAAACGTTTCTTTAGGCGACTGATCACTCAGTAAGCCTGTTTGTCAATCTGTCTGTAGTCCCTCTTTCAGCTAACCAGCCAGTCGGTTTGTCAGTCGGTTAGGCTATCCGCCTTTCTATCTCTTGTGTGTCTGATGGCCTGTCTTTCTGTGTTCTCTGTCACGGTCCTTCAGTAAGTCAATCACTCAAAAGTTATATAGGCAGTAACTTGGTATAATTCAGTCGATAAGATAAGGTGTTGGAGATTTTAAGTGTACAAAATACTGGTTGAAAACAAGGACACCGAACAAACCAAGACTGTGTTTCGTTAGCTGTTCTTTGTTGTAATGGTTTTCAAGCTTTTTCCATTTTGGTTATTTGTTTTTGAATTACCCTTGCAGAGCACGTTTCGTTACAATTCTGATCTCTGGAGCAACAATGAAACCTTCAATATAGAAGGAGGAAAGACTGGGTTTGACTTGCATGAGACTAAATTACCAACCTACTGGGGTACACCCTTCACCAAGATCTGTCTCGGTATGAAGATCGGACATCAAATCAACTTCACCGTTATTAATAAGCAAGCTAGCTCTCTGCACTCACTGATCGCTGATGGAAACCACCGTAACACTTCACTAGGTCGTGACACGTGGAAGGAGCTGATTGGTTCTCAAGCTTTCTTGCAACCCAATTGCAACAAAGAAGGGTTTAACGTTGTGACCGAAAATAACAACACAAATTGGCCAAAGGTGAGGATTGGTATCCTCAGCAACAACGAAGATAACTGTTTCTCTTGTGATTCTAGGATCGGCTTTGGAGCAGAGTCGTCGATGGACGTAAGAAATAATTCTTGTGGAAATGAAGCTTCTATATCTTACGGAGATACACACATTAAGACGATGGGATATATCTTAGTCCAATAAGAAAACAAAATGGTACCAAAAATCCAAGATTTATCTCTGACGTTTTTAAGGTCAGGCACCAGTTCCGAGAGGAAATTTGTTCGGCAGGGCATCGAAAACATGGGAAAGGCAATAAAGAAATGTGACAGACAAAATTTGTAGACAAAAAGATTTTTTTAGCTAAACTTTCTTGAGAGTGGCGAGATTTTAGAAGCCATTGCCCTCAAACTCCGAGCCGTAAACTCTGGAACATATTTATGCCCAAGTTAAATAATGATTAGTTAGTTGGTTGGTCAGTCGATTTAATTTAATTTAAATTTTGAGACTGCACGCACAAAATGATAGAGCCAAATTATAACTAATGTACGATGGATTGAATCGTACCAATGATAGGAACTGTCCACCTTTCCCATTATCTTATGCACGAAATGTCTGAATTCTTGAAACATAATGTTACCACGTATCATCAATGCATCGTCAAGGATGGATTTCAACTGCAACAATAATACAACTATGTTAAAAAAATTATCAAATACTTGTGAAAAAATACTTCGTCTCGGCTAAGAGACATGCAAACTCGAAATGCATGTCGCTCAAACTTAAACTGTCGGCTGGTTGGTTCTCTATCGCAGAAGGAGTCTCAACCGCATGTTCACGAGTTACAACTTAAACAACAAAAGTTGTCAAATACTTGTGCAAAGATACTGTTCATGGCTGGCGTGACTACGTTGATAAGAGTAACAATTACATGAATCTGATCTTAAGTGACAGCGAGAAAGTCGTTTCCTCTTCGTCAGCAAAATGGTTGTTTTCGTTAATAGACATGCTATGTTTGTTTAATTAGTTCGCAGGTTCCTTCGTCTCTCCTTGTAGAGGAAAACATGTTGTTGATGGAAATACACCAGGTGTTTCTCAGACATTGCTGACCGTACTATAACAAACTGGGTGAATCAAACTGTTTGACGGCGTATCCCATCAACCTCTAAGGTTTCAAATAAAAGAAAAAAGAGGAATTTTGGGGTTGTCTTTTGCAGAAAACGTGCCGTAGTTCTCAAGAGAAATAACAACAAAATTTCCTTTTACGCAGCCATACCTGCCTTTAGTTCAAGTTAACTGTAACATTGTACTGAATATGATTCCGTTGTTAAAGAACCTTTGAAAGTGTTCATCCTATCTTTCAATTAAGTGCGAATGGTTTGAATTAACAAAATGTTTTCCTTCCGGATCTGGCTTCAGTTGCCAGACAAACATTTTGACGGAGGGAAACTCGGCAGGAAATGAAGAATGCTGGGAAGAGTTTCGCTTCGCGTAGCTTATTAAAGATTGAGTTGATGCACATAATAGTTTTAACACGTATAGCGTGACATTGAGAAAATGTAGACGGTTTGACTCTTCTGGTTTGCCATCAAGCAGTGAGAAATTTCTTAGAAATAGATGGCATTCTGCACAAGTTTTAAGCTGGACTCCAAGAAAGATGTCAAAGGACTTTGTGATAAACACACACGTAATTCCTACTGTTAAGGAAAATATTAACTCTGCTTATATGAAGGATGTTTACTTTGCTAATGCTGCTAAAGGTAATAAAATTTTTTTTTCACTTAAAGGTTAAGCTTTCACTAATTCAGTTCTTACATCGATAGAATTTTTAATCAATTGGTTCCTTCGTTTCTCTAATAACAGTTATCCCTTCGGTGAGGGTCTCGATGGGGTTAACCGTAAAAACTGACAAATTTTATCAAATATTCGTGAAAAAAGTTCACCGAAAAAAAAAATTTAAGGTAATAAAATGGAATGACATTACCCATAAGCCGTAAAAGCCATCACCTCGTTGAGAACCTCTTCGGTATTCTCCAGTTCCCAAAAAAATTGGACGATTAAAACAAGATTTAATTTGGGAGCGTCAAATTTCTCTTATCTTCTCATAAGAAGCCTATCGGTAGTTGTTTGTTTATTTCAGTTTGTGTAATGTATATGTTCTATTAAGTGTTTTCCGCGAAAGCTCAAAGTATCAACCTTACGAAGTGATTAAGGAATTTTACCTTGTTATGTAGCAAAGGTTTATCCTGTAGGTGACGTAAGTAATTGACGTCAGGTTAATTTTTTGCTTATATTCCACTTATGCAGGTGGTTTCCTGCTTCAAGTTACGTGGTATGAAATGACCCCTAATTCTCTTTGCAGCGTTTCTAAAATTAAAAACGTAATACTGCCATTCCACTTATGCAGATAGTTTCCTGCTTTCAAGATACGTTGTATGAAATGACCCCTAATTCTCTTATCAGCGTTTCTAAAATTAAAAAAGTAATTCTGCCATTCCACTTATGCAGATAGTTTGCTGCTTTCAAGATACGTTGTATGAAATGACCCCTAATTCTCTTCTCAGCGTTTTTAAAGGTTCAAAAGTAATTCTGCCATTTAATAAATTTTAAGGTGAAAGCGTCAAGGTAATTTAATCGACCCAGTTTGTTTTGAAACTGCAGTTGATAGTGGCTGTCACAACCACTTCCTCCCCCCTCGCCCACACTACACATCAATTGACATCGCCAGTTATTCTCTAACGGCTTTATCAGGGGGTGTTTCTTGTTTCTCTGACCGGCTGCTTTGAATCTGTCCTTTCCAAGAGGAATAAATAGTATTAAAATCGTACCTAAGGAGAGAAAACTTAATAATTTTCAGATGATTTAAATCTCAATGTACAAAAAAGTTCGCATGAACTTTGGTACTGCGTGGGTGGGAGGGGGG